ACTTGATGTGAATTATAATGGCGGCTCGCGTCGTCACGCGACTAAAACACGGCACGCGTCTATTCCACGTTTAACACGAGGCCCGTGATGTTTACACGGCCATAAAACAGCCGCCCCATAATTTTCAGTTGTTTTAAATTAAACGTCAAACGACTCAATATTTCACCGACTCTATTTTTCTCCCGTCGATAAACCGGCCGGCAACGGAAAAACTTGGAAAACTGATCGATTTCGGTGATGAAAAGCACCACCAGCCGACCCCTCTTCCCATCGTCGCGCCCTTAACCGCGTGATTTTATTTACTCCGTGCTCGAAACCGCTTTTTTCCACGGAATTAATCCTTACATTGGCAAAACACTTTTTCAATTGCCTTTTCTTTTCACTTCGGTTCACTGCGAAACAAAATATCCTCCGGCATTCAACCCTTTGCGGACGAAGATTCTTTGAACTGTACAAAATCTTCAACAGATGAAGCTAAATTACATATTAGTTGCTTAAATAATAGCAAAAACAGAAGCTACATGCTAATCCCTTGTTGTTCGAGTTATTCAGTCATTTGCCTGTGACTCAGTCTTCCAAATATGAACGTTTCATCTCGAAATGTCGACATTCGTCTGCAAAGGGTTGAATTACACTGAAACGAACTGCACGGCTGAGGAACGTTCATTCTGTCGGTATGTTACCTAAATCCATTAAAAAACATTAAAAATACGTGTACAGCTTCAGTTAACATCAGAAATATAGAGCACTTGCAAACATTTCCTTCGCAATAATCGAAGAGTTCGCTTGAAAAGTTGAATAAAAATCAATCGAAGTTCCAACGAACTCACTCGTACAATCAACGCTAATAAGAAAACAAACTATCCAATTGGTCTGGCCGCGAACTCGTTCCTCGTTATTCCGCGATCAATGAAAATCCCCGAACAAAAACGGCCGTTTCAAAAGGAATCTCCCCGGTTTCCCGCAACTTTCTTCCAGCCGTCGCAATCCCGAAAGGAACTAGTTCCGCGGTCGCCCGCGTATTTTTGCGACCCAATAGAATAAACATCGTCCGGCGGGAAGTTTAAATTGGTTTATTCGGCGCGGTTCCCGGGCAAGGTTTCGCTGGCCTACAAATCAGCGAGCTGTTTCCCCGAGCCAGCCAGCGAAATCGGGCCGAAATATATTAAAAACTCGCGCCTCTCTGATATATTCATTACACGCGATTTCAATTATCCCCCGGCGACAACAACGCGGTTCAGTTATATACTCGCGTTCGTGTTCATCCACGAAATCGAGATTTCGCGCTGGTACCTACACTCTCGCGTATGAAAATCGCGCGGAAGGGAGGCCGCCGCGAGGCGCATCATTAGTCCGTTAAAATCCTCGATTACTCTACTCCCGAGGTATCATGGCGGCGCGCGCGCGGTTCTAATAGGCTCTCTGAAAGGTTTTCGTCGAGCCAGGAACCCGTGCCATTCCCGCTTTTTATCCGTCCGCGGGAGGAATGTTTTTTATCGGGCCGAGCGACGCAGACAGCCCCCGTGAACGATCGTTCCGCGATCGAATAGTCGTGACAGTTGACCTCGCGTCGCGGCAGACCGAACAGACCGCGGCACCCTTGCGTTTTGTGCGTTTCAGATGCGCGGATTAACTGGATTCCTTTGGAGATCGTCGATTTCTAATTAATTAGAGTTTTAATATTTGAAGCACTCGATTTTTTAGAGTCGCCGATTGATTAGGAATATGAAATTTCGAAATCGCCAATGTTCTGCTGTCTTGCATTTTCACATGAAATGTGGAACGAAATTATATATGAAAGGTAATGAGATGTTTTCAATCACAAATTACTGCGTCTATCATTTCGCAAGTTGCTGGTGATTGAAATTATTCCATGACGATATGCGGTTATTGGGGAATCTTCGTCGATGTGGTAGATGTTTTTCGTTGACACTCGTTTTGTTATATTGGTTGGTAATTAACGGAAACCTTTCGCTTGCCATGAATGTTTCAATGAATTATTTGATTACGTTCCTGGGAAATTTGGTTGGATAAAGTCGCGTTCTCCGATTGGTTCTTCGCTTAACAGATGGACAGCAAAATAAGAAGTATTGTAATTGAATAATTTATTCATATTTCAAATCGATTTCTTCCGGTGTGCGAAATTCCGTTAATACACATCCACTCGGTACTGCGCGAATCCATTGAAATTTATTACGTTCTGCGTCTACATTGGTCATTAAACATGAGTATCGATAATTAACAGTAATTTCCAGTTAATTGCATTCACTGCAATAACGGCGCGGTAATGACTATACCAGCCAGTTCCAGAACTTAATTTAACAAGGTGTTATAACACCAAATATGATCGATGGACGCGCGAGCGGCCAAGAAGAATATTACGGACGTTGTTAGGTTTCAATGAACGGTATCGTGCATCACCACAGATCCGCGTTTAAACATCGAAATATCGAGTTCGCGCGTATCCCGGAATAACAACGGGAAAGAATCGAGGAGTAAAGTTACTTCTCGTCTCGATTATTCGCTAAAAATCATTCGCAATATTGCCGACGCGATATTAAAACCGTGCATCGTGTTCAATCGGACTCAAATAACAATCCTCCGCCTCTCTTGACACAAATTCTTAGTATTCAGTACTAATTGACGCGAGAACAGGCTTCAATTCTTTGCACGTTGAACGCCAGTTCCATCGACACGCTATTTTTCAGGGAATCGCACCGCAGACATCGCGTAGCCATATAAAATACAATGAAAGCCGTTCGAAGATGTAAAACCGAGTGTTTCGCGGCCGCAATAAACAATTATAAACTCGATTCAACAAAACGTGTCGATAGTGGATTGTACATGACCGTATAGTGATCGTTAAACGAGGAATCAGCCAACGGGAACAGTGAAAACTATCTTCCGCGGCACGAACGTGTTCGACCGACAGCGAACAATCGCGGTGTATAATTGGCTCGAAAAATCGAACAATGGAGAAGACAATTTAGCGTCGATAATCCGACAGGAATCTGGCAAAACGAGCATCCCTAATAACACTTGATCCGATGCGCGGAATTTGTAACGAACTCTCGCTGGAACAAGAGCGAAGGAGAGAGAGAGAGA